GCTTAGCACCTGGCTAAATTGCTGAGGCTGGCTTTGAATTTGTAATCCTCCTGCCTCCGCCTCCCCAGCTGCTGGGACTGCAGGTGTGCACCACCACGCCTGGCTCAGCATTTGAGATATATATTTTTAAATATGTATTTTTTAGGTATAGATGGACTCAACACAATGCCTTTATTTTTATGTGGTGCTGAGGATGGAACCCGGGTCCCGCCCATGCTAGGCGAGTGCTCTACCGCTGAGCCACAATCCCAGCCCAGCATTTGAGATATTTAAAAAATATTTTTAGGGGCTGAGGCTGTAGCTCAGTGGTAAAGTGCTTGCCTCACATGTGTGCGGCACTGGGTTCAATCCTCAGCACCACATAAAAATAAATAAAGATACTGTGTGTTCATCTGCAACTAAATAAATATTAAAAATATTTTTAGTTACAGATGGACAAATATCTTTATTTTGTTTTATTTTATTTATTTTTTAATGTGGCATTGAAAATCAAACCCAATGTCTCACACATGCTAGGCAAGCGCTCTGCCACTGAGCCACAACCCCAGCCTGAGATTTTTTTTTTTTAAAGAGAGAGAGAGAGAGAAAGAGAGAGAGAGAGAGAGAGAGAGAGAGAGAGAGAGAGAGAGAGAGAGAGAGTGTTTTAATATCTATTTTCCAACTATCGGCGGACACAACATCTTTGTTTGTATGTGGTGCTGAGGATCGAACCCGGGCCGCACGAATGCCAGGCGAGCGGGCCACCGCTTGAGCCACATCCCCAGCCCCGAGATTTTTTTTTTAAAACATTTTTTTAGTTGTTGATAGATCTTTATTTTATTTATTTATAGTGGTGCTGAGAATCAAACTCAGTGCCTCACACATCACACATGCCTCACCACTGAGCCATAGCCCCAGCCCTCTGAGATTTTTTTTAATATATTTTAGTTGTCCATGGATCTTTAATTAATTAATTAATTAATATGTAGTGCTGAAAATCAAACCCACGGCCTCTCCCACATGCCAGGCAAGCATTTTACACTGAGCCACAACCCGAGCCCCAGCATTTAAGATTCTTTTGGTACTGTGGATTGAATTCCGAGGCGCTTAATCACTGAGCCACATCCCCAGCCCTTTTTTGTATCTTATTTAGAGACAGGGTCTCACTGAGTTGTTTAGGGCCTTGCTAAATTGCTAAGGCTGGCTTTGAACTTGTGATCCTCTTGCCTCAGCCTCCCAAACCACTGGGATTACAGGCATGCACCACCAGCAGCGTTTAAGATTTTAAAAAAAGTTTTATCCAGGATTTTAGTTGTTTTTAGGTCTTCTAGGTTCTTAGCCTGAAAAGGAAAGCACAAGTATGCAATATTTTTGCACATATTTAATATGACCTGTCTTTTCCAGTAATGCAACCACTATGTAAATTGTTTTGTATTGTTCTGAACTTTACCAAGAGTTGTTCACCATTCTGGAAAGTCAGACCAATGGCAATTCTGCCTAATTCAACTCTCCTTGGTCAGTCTATATTTGTCCCTATCACATTCTTAGCGATTCTAGGGCTGGGGGTAGAGTTTCCTATTTTCCTCTAACTTCCAGTGTAGAATAGTGCCCAAGTATTTGCATATTGAAATGCCTTCTTCTTGGGGCTGGGGATGTGGCTCAAGCGGTGGCCCGCTYGCCTGGCATGCGTGTGGCCCAGGTTCGATCCTCAGCACCACTTACAAAGATGTTGTGTCTGCCTAAAACTGAAAAATAAATATTAAAAAAATTCTCTCTCTCTCTCACTCTCTTTAAAAAAAAAAAAAGAAATGCCTTCTTCTTGTCCTTATTTTTCTTTAATAGCCAGAAAATTATATTGATCTGCTTTTTAAATTGTGTATCCAGGTAATTTATATTGCTTGTTAATTTCACTTCAGGGTAGTAGAGTTAAATATTTGTTTTTAAAAAGATGCATTGATGGGGCTGGAGATGTGGCTCAGCGGTAGCGCGCTCGCCTGGCATGCGTGCGGCCCGGGTTCGATCCTCAGCACCACATACCAACAAAGATGTTGTGTTCGCCGAGAACTGAAAAATAAATATTTAAAAAAAAAAAAAAAAAGATGCATTGAAGCCAGGTGTAGCAGTGTACCTGTAGTCCCAGCTACTTCCATGAGTTTGAGACCAGCCTGAACAACATAGTGAGACTCTGTCAAAAAAAAAAAAAAAAAAAGATAAAAAGGGGACACTAGGAGGGGACAGATTTACTGATGTGATCATTTAGAGTTCAAAATCTGGAGAATTTCTGCTATTTTGAAGGCATGTGACTTGGAGCACGATGGTTAACTTTTTGGCATTGAGGTGTAGGTCAGTGGTAATGCTTGTGCTCAGCATGTATAAGACCCTGGGTTCAATCCCCTCCCCATGCCCCTTCATCCCTAACCCCCACACACCTCAGAAAAGATGGTTAACATCCTCAGTTGTGCACACCTGTAATCCCAGAGGCTCAGGAGGCTGAAGCAGGAGGATTGCAAGTCAAAGCCAGCCTCAGCGACTTAGCAAGGCACTAAGCAGCTCAGTGAGACCCTGTCTCTAAATAAAATACAAAATAAGGCTGGGGGGGGGTCAGTGGCTGAGTGCATCTGAGTTTAATCCCCTGCACCAAAAAAATAAAAAAGAAAAAAAATAAAGAAGAAAAGGAGGTTAACATTGTTGAGTCTTGGTTTCCTTGGTTTCTTCATCTGTAAAATGGGGGTGGTATTATGTACCTCAGACAGTTATTGTGAGGATTAAGTGAGTTGTGATATGTGAAGTTATAATAGTACCTGGCACATGGTGTTAATGTCAGACCTTGCCAGGCATTGGGGACATGCCTGTAATCCTAGCAATTTAGGAGGCTGAGGCAGGAAGATCACAACTTCAGTGTCAGCCTTAGCAACTTAAGTGTATCCCTAAGCAACTGAGTGAGACCTTGTCTTAAAACAAAACAAAAAAACAAAAAAAAAAAAAAAGAAAAGAAAAAGAAAAAGGGCTGGGGATGTAGCATGGTGGTAGAGTACTCCTAGTTTCAATTCCTACTACCACACAAACACACACTCACACCCTCCCCCCCTCACACATACACACCCACAAAGTCACAGGCCCCATGATTATGTCTTTGACCCAATTTCTTGTCTCTTCCTTAAGTTCTAGCTCTCATCACATCAAAATACTTTTCTTGGAAAATGCCATGATTCTTCCTGTTTTGCTTATACTCTCCCTGGAATCCTCCCTTCTTTGAAACCCTATCTAATTCCTATCCATCCATCAGATCTCACTCAGAAAATGGGTAACAACCTTACTTAGCTCTTTCTTCATGAAGTCTATTGCTATCTCCACAAGTGATGTGTCCCTGTTTTCACCACAGTGGCTGCCCTTAACACAGAGTGATGTTACAGAGCACAGGGGCTTACATTAGCTACTGTGGGCAGGGAATGCCTTCTGTAGAGGGGCATTTGAGCTAAGGCCTGAAAAATTAAAGAGGATAGATAGTACAAAGGCTCTGAGGTCAGGGCTGCCTGCAGGACCACACAACATAAAAGTGATTGAGGAGGGTACAGGTAGGACATGAAGATGAAGATCTGGGAGGCTCTAGCAAGAGTTAGGATCCACTTCCACATTACCTCACCTTCAAGCATGCAGAAGTACATACCTGGACATCTTTACTTTTGCATCCATTGATCTCTATGTCTGGAATGTGTTCCTTGCTTCTCTGATTATTAATAAAATCCTACTCATCCTTCAAGGCCAGTGAAAAACCATTTATGAAATCTTCTCTCATTCTTTATCAGGAATTAATCACTTCCTTGTCTGATGTCCCCATGGCACTAATCACATGCTGACTTGTACCTCAGCTAGCTGTTTACATGCCAGTCTGCCCACCAACACGGTGAGTTCCTGAGGACAGAGGCTCTTAGTCATCTCTGTATCAATCTCCTGGTGCCTGGCCCACATCTGATACATAATGAGACACTGACTTTACTAGTGGGTGGGGTCCAGCACTACTCATGGTGGAACAGAGAAGGAAAACAAAAATAATAACAATTATGGCTTATCATGTGTTGTCCCATTCATTACCTGATTTGTGCCTTCCAACAACCCTAAGAGACAGAAGGGACAGGAATATGCATCAATTTTACAGACAGGGTTGCCGAAGCCTTTTAAGATGTGGGGACTAAGTCCCAATCCTGTCTTTTACTTCAGATTCAGCGCTGGGAATGGAACTGACCCAAAGAGCAGTTTGAGGATATAAATCAGTGGGATGGGCTGCAGTGACAAAGTGCTTTTGTGGGTGGACTTGGGAGAAATCCTCAATCAGTTGCCAAGGAGTTAGCAATTGCGCCAGGAAGGGCAAAGTATTTCTGTCTCTCAGCCAAGCAGCTGAAGGATTTCGCAGCACCATCTCTCATCACTGAAAATGGGAAACCCTTGGCCCACGAAAGATACCGTTTGGATCTGGTGGCTCAGTTGATGTAAAGGATGACTTGTTAGCAGGGGCCTGCTTCTCTGTTGCCATGACAACCAGAGCTTGCCTATTGGTCCCTTGCAAGGTTAGCTGAGGCGTTCTCTTCGTTAACTCGAGATTAGGGAAGGACACTTAGGGGGAGGGTGTGTGCGCGAGCGCGCCTAGTGGACTAAAGATGAAAAAGAAGTATATTCACGAAACACGATAGCTGAGTGGTTCTCCACCTCGGTGACATGTTAGAATCACGCGCATTAAAAGTCCCGATACTAGGCTGCACTCGATCAATTAAATCAGAATCTCTGGAACTACAACCCTGACATCAGTAGCTAGCTGAAGCTCTCCAGGTAGTTTCGATTGTGGTCAAAGATGCAAATCCCGGTTTTAGCTGCTAAGCGGAGTTCTTGCGACCTTCTCAAGATGGCGACCGATCCAGCCACTTCCGTCTTTACGTGCGCCGGCAGGGGGGGGGCAGGTTTTCCAGAGGCGCATGCGTTTAGCGTGTCTTTGCTCCCCGCTCCCTCCTCCTTTTTCTCCCGCCTCCATTTTGTTCGCGGACGCTGGGGACGGTGGGAGCACATCCATTTCCGGGTTGGCAAAAGGGGCGGCGGCGGCGAGAAAGAGAGCTTGCTGGGGGGGCGAGTGAGACAAGACGAAACCAGAGCAGAGGTGGCGGAGGATTCGCTCCCGGAGCAGCTGCAACCAGGTCGGAAAGAGGCTGAGAGGGCTGGGTCCGTCGCTGAGGTGACCTGCGGACCTGAGTTGGGAGGGAGGATCGGGAGAGGGGGGCTTTGGGCGGGGCTTGAGGAGAGTGGGGGCACCGGAGGAGGGGCCTGAGGGGGAGAGAGGGGCTCTGGGGGCGGGATTTGGGGAAATGGGGGTTGGGTCTGGAGAAGCTAGAGTGGGGGCGTGGGTCATCTAAGGAGGAGTGGTCAGGAATTGGTACTGGGCGGGCGCGGACTGTGAAGATGGGCGAAGTGCTTTTTGAGAGACAGGAAATAAAGCATCTTGAAGGGTTGGTTGAGGTAAGATGGAAACTCGCGGTGAAGAACGAGGTAACCGTGCGCAAAAGGGGAGATGGGAAGGGAGTACCTGTTGGGAACAGGTAATTAGTAGGATGCTCTGGGTGAGGAGGCCCGTGTGACATTTTGAGAACTGATTTAGATAAAAAGTCGTGGTTGGGAGGATGGCTCAGGAAACTGCTTACATTAGATAGAATCTTACAAGCGTTAGTTGAGAAGCAGTCAGAATGCAGTTAAAGGTTGGACTGAGAAATGTTGAGATACGCTTTGGTGCACCTGGAGTTGAGGGGTTCGTGTTTGAGTGCTAGATGTGGGCGTTGTGTGTGATTGAGTTGCGGATCAGGAAGCTAAATTCTGAAAAGATGACATTGTAGTGAGGAATTGGAAGAAGCTGGGAATTCATATTTTTAAAGAGACTTGAAAAATACTGTTTGGGACTCTTCCAGGGCCCATCTCCTTTCCTTTCCTTCCTTCCTTTCTTTCTTTCCTTTTTTTTTTCATTCTGTTATTTTTGACTTAAGTTTTGGTTTCCGAATGACTTATTGAATGTTTCCGGCTACTCTTCTCCTTTTGTGAACCAGAAAAGAGCTTAGAGAGTAAAAACTGTTCTAGCACACCTCTAGCTTTACTCATTAACTTTGAGGCAAATCATTAAACTCTTCATTTTTTCCCTCCTTTGTAATATAGGAGGAATTTACTTTTGCATCCACTGATAAAATTCTACTCACCCTTCAAGGCCAGTTAGAAACCATTTATGAAATCTTCTCTCATTCTTTATCAGGAATTAAAATCCTCATCCTGTTCTCTAAAAGACTGTGTTAAACAAGTGAGATGTTGAAGTGGTTGCAAACAAGTGCTCTGGAAACAAGATTGAGATATTGCTATTTGAAAGACATTTTTCTCAGTCTCTTCCTCTTGGTCTTGTGTGTGTATAATAATGTATATATATGCACACACACACACATATATATACATTATTATATAAAATGTATATCTGTGTGTAAATATGTGTGTTTCTGTGTGTTTGTGTGTGTGTATTGCCAGGAAAGAGTTGGTTTACATTTGATGCATGTTTAGTTTTTAAATTATATTCTCTCCCCCAGTAGTAGTGGGGATTGATTTCAGGGCCTTGGGTGTATAAGATGAGCTACATCCCCAGTCCTTTTGTGTGCATAGTACTGGAGATTTTTTTTTTTTAATATTTTTTTAGTCGTGGTTGGATGCAATACCTTGATTATTTATTTATTTACTTATTAGTTTTATGTGGTGCTGAGGATCGAACCCAGGGCCTTGCACATGCTAGGCGAGCGCTGTACCGCTGGGCCACAACCCCAGCCCTGTACTGGAGAGTTGAACCCAGGAGTACCCTACTAGTGAGCTACATCTCAGCCCTTTTTATTTATTTATTTAAAAWTTTTTTTTTTGTCGTTGTAGATGGATGGAATACCTTTATTTGTTTATTTTTATGTGGTGCTGAGGATCGAACCCAGTGCCTCACAGATGCTAGGCAAGTGCTCTGCCACTGAGCTATAGTCCCAGCCCTCAGCCCTTTTTATTTTTATTTTTTATTTTGAGACAGGGTTTTGCTAATATGCCCAGGCTGGCCTTGTACTTGCCATTCTCCTGCCTCAGCCTCCTGTGTTGTTGCTAGGATTACAGGTGTGCACTACTGCATCTAGCTTTTAACTATTCTTTTAAAAAATTTAAATATATGTATGTTTTTTAGTTGTAGATAGACATAATACCTTTCTTTTTATTTATTTATTTTTATGTGGCGCTGAGGATTGAACCCAGGGCTTCACACATGCTAGGCAAAGGCTGTGCCACAACCGCAGCCCCAGTGTGAAACTTTTATATAGTTGAAAATTTTTTACCATTGTGTTACATTTTATTGGCTACCATCAAAATGAAGATAAGGAAATTAGAGTTGGGAATGAATGAGGTCAGTTGATGGAGACTAGGAGAATGTAGTATTTTATTCTTGACAGAAACTGGGTTTTTCCATGTGCTCTTTTTTTCTTTAATTTTTTTAGTAGTAGATGAACATAATACGTTTATTTATTTATTTTATGTGGTGCTGAGGATCGAACCCAGTGCCTCACACGTGTGAGTCAAGCGTTCTGCCACTGAGCCACAACCTCAGACCCTCCATGAGCTATTTGAGAATTCCCTGAAAAATAATATTTTGGACAATTGAGCCTTATCTTTAATCCAGTCACTATCTATGGCCTTGTTGTCAGTTGGTAGGGATGAGTGTGCTGTGGACAGTTTTAGCTGCTTTACTGTTTTTTTGTTTGTTTGTTTTTGCTAATTTTTTTTTTTTTTTTTTTTTTGTAGTGCTAGGTATTGAACCCAGGGCCTCTTTCCAACTAGACCACTCTATCACTGAGCTATATTCCTGCTTCATTGTTAATTCTTCAAAATCCTGTTTCAACTTTTTTTTTTTTTTTTTTTTTTTGGGTACTGGAGATTGAACTCAGAGGCACTCAACCACTGAGCCACATTCCCAGGCCTATTTTGTATTTTATTTAGAGACAGGGTCTCACTGAGTTGCTTAGCACCTCAGGCTGGCTTTGAACTTGCAATCCTCCTGAGTCGCTGGGATTGTAGGCATGCGCCACCGCACCTGGCTTTTTTAACTTCTGTAGGGTGATTCTCTCTACACTTTCACATAGGTAAACTTATTTAATCTAGAAGTGTTCCTGAAAGTCTTGGCATTTCTGAGGTTCGAGGTGGATTTGCTAAAGAGAGGGCAGTTTTTAATTCTATCTCCCACTTAGTATCAGAATGGTGTTTACCCTAGTTAGTACTGATTAGCTGTGTGATGTCAGCACAAAGGTGAAATTCAGGGGAGACTGGAAGATATTGAGAACACTGGGGTTTTCAGGTTTTACTGATGGCTTTCAAGAAGGGAAGAGAGGAGTCTTATGTTGAAGAGAAAATTATAGAATGTTTTTCTTGATTTCTTCTGCTTTCTGGTTGGCTCTGGTGCACTTAGTTCTATTTTCCTACTGCTGAAGTAGTTCTGAAATTCAACAGGCTGTTGGTTCAGGCTGTTTGAGTAAACCATAGCTTTCACACCCACTCCAGGAAGAGCTGCAGGCTGTGGTATATTGTACTTATAATGGGGGTAAAAACCTGTGTAATATTCAGATTTTTCAACCTACAGTGTGATTTTTTTTTTTTTTTTTAAACGAACCTGGGGACTGAACCCAGTGTCCTGCATACTAGACAAGTGTGCTGCCTCTGAGCCCTTCAAGTTTTTTTTTTTTTTTTTTTGCAGTACTGGGGATTGAGCCCAGGGACACTCTACCACCAAGCTGCATCCCCAGCCCTTTTTATTTTTATTTTGAGACAGGACCTTACTAAGTTGCTGAGGCCTTGAATTTCCTGCCTCAGCTTCTGGAGTTGCTGGGATTAAGGTGTGTGCTGCATCTTGGTTCATTTGTTGTTGTTGTTTTGGTACTGGAGATTAAACCCAAGGGCACTGTACCACTGAGCCACATCCCCTGCCCTTTTTTTTTTTTTTTAAGATTTTTTAAAAGATGGACGCAGTATCTTATTTATTTTTATGTGGTGCTAAGATTCGAATTCAGTGCCTCACATGTGCGAGGCAAACACTCTACTGCTGAACTATAACCCCAGTGCGCCCCCCAATCCTATTTTTTATTTTATTTACAGACAGGATCTCACTGAGTTGCTTAGTGCCTCACTAAAAAGTCTTGCTGAGGCTGGCTTTGTACTCATGATCCTCCTGCCTTAGCCTCCTGAGCTGCTGGGATTACAGGTGTTAGCCACCATGCCTGGCTATCTTGGTTCTTTTTTTTTTTTTTTTTTTTTAAATAGTTTTTAGTTGTAGGTGGATGCAATACCTTTATTTTATTTATTTATTTTTATGTGGTGCCTTACACATGCTAGGCAAGCTCTCTATCGCTGAGCCATAACTCTAGCCCTCTTGGTTCATTTTTTTTCCCTCTTTAATATTTATTTTTTAGTTGTAATCAGACACAATACCTTTCTTTTTACTTATTTATTTATATGTGGTGCTGAGGACTGAATCCAGGGCCTCGCACTTGCCAGGCCATCGCTCTACCGCTGAGCCACAACCCCAGCCCCCCCCTTGGTTAATTTTTAAGAGGTTTCTGAGATAACTTATAGAGGCTCAGAGCTCCTGGGGAGGCTTTTGGTATAGCTTGCTTCCTTAATATAATGTTTTTCAATTTTTCCTGTTCTACATTTTCCTGTTGCTCTGCTTGAGCTATTACTAAGTGGAAAATGGCAGATTTCACATTACCCGCCCCCCCCCTTTTTTTTTAGTTTCTGGTGGATATCTTGTCTGTGTCACAGTTTGATATCACCAAATTGAAAAGATTCTTGACTGTTTCAAATGGGGAGGGTGACAGAAGCTGAGTTGGGTTTCCTGCACCAGAGAATGGACTCTGTCAAAGCAAAGAATAGTTGTAGATACACAAACCAGGACTTTGAAGCTGTGATTAACATTTTGGCAACATGCATCCCTTTGCCAAATAACTTCTTTTCTTCTTGAGTGTGATTGTTGATCTCCTTTTCAAAGTAGGCTCTTGTTGCTACTGTTCTTCACACAGCTCCCAAGCAGAAGTTGGCAGAGTTTCGGTTGACTGACTGTCTCTTGAGCCTGGATTAGAGTGGATGGGGCGTTCCATGT